ATGGCGTGTTCAAGCTCATAAAATCATTATTACAGTGTGATAAATTAAATGTTCTGTAGATTAAAAATAATTTTCTATACACATATTGTCGCCCGCGTGGCGCAGTGGTTAGAGCGTGCTCTAGGGTCGCGAAGTAAGGAGTTGATCCTTACGTCGCGGGTTCGAATCCCACTGTGGGACGTGGAGACCGGTCCTTCGGATGAGACCGTATAAACCGAGGTCTCGTGTCGCAGTAGGTTCTGGCACGAAAAAGACCCCTCACTGCTCAATGGCCGTAAGTGCCGAGCATAGGACAAAATTTGCAGCTCTCCACCGGCAAGTGGTGGCGTCTCCATATGAGTGAAAAATTCTCGAGAGGGACGTTAAACAACATACAATCAATCAATCAATCAATCTATACACATATTAAAGAATAAGCAATGAAATCTTTATATCCATATTGGCATTTTTTTTTAAATTTGCTACAATATACATGTATACATTTAATAATTCTACAAATACAGGGGGCAGTGTGACCACCACCCCCCCCCCCCGAACTGCGCATGCTCCTCTTTTTTCCCTAAGCGGAGGACACAAATTCTCTGAATTAGCTTGTTTACACACTGAATTGTCGACGGATTTTTCCATTATTTCCCGATCAAGACAAAGAACTCACGGGGGGGGGGGGTCCCCAGGGGATGCTCACTCCCCCATGGCACCTGATCCCACCTCTGATGTTTTGGAGGTCCGTGTTTGCTCTGCTCTTAAATTTGTATTGTTTAATGGACTTTTGAGCTTAAATCCTGTTCGTTATATCCAACATTTCATAGATAAGGAAAATGAACGATAAAAAGGTCATTGATTGATTGATTGACTTGTGTCCCATTCGAGAATTTTTCACTCACATAGAGATGCCACCATTTACCGGTGAAGGTTTCAAATTTAGGCCTATACTCGGCACTCAGCCATTGATTAGGGAGGGGTTTTTTTTATCATGAAAAGGACTACAGTAACATGGTACCTCAGTTTTTATGGTCTCATCTAAAATACCCATACATTTCTTTTTGAATGCAGGGCGCCTAACGGAGAAAAAGTCACAACCTATGTTTACGTCTTAGGTTTGACGCAGCGCTAGGAAAAGAAGGTTGAAGTCATCAAGTTGATATTTAAGTTTACATGTAGTTGTTTTTCTGCCAGCAGTGTCTATTTTTAGGAAAAATATTCAGATATGAAACAGATATAGTAGATTTTGTGATGTCTTTTATTTTGAGTTCAGTAGGATATATCGAAACAAAGCATGAATGAAAATGAATATTGTTATTTAAAAAAAGTCAATAAACATGTATATTTAAATTGGCGAATTGACATTCGCGGGTTCGCGGGTTAATGAAAAAGTACCTAGACAAAATCTTCATCATATTATTTTTGAAAAATTCAAAATCGACACATTGTCATAGGGAAAAGAGTATTGATATATGCAGTGCGGTTAAATCTACATGATTTGTCAACAATGTAAAAAGCAATATTAACCACACTAATCACGTCAAAACATTTTGTCATGTCAGTTTCTTTAAAAGTAATCTCTTTCAACATTTTACCAAGGTCCATAGCGCCATACCCATTCATTATACATCTTACTATACAACTTAGTTGGCTAACAATTGTTCGAGTTCCATATGTTAGTCAGAGTCAGATTGTAAGTGTTGTCAAAATTCTGCTTTCACAAGATTCGTAATAGTGATGTGTCCATCACTTTATTAACTCTTCAGACCAGATTTTTACCGATATTTTGTTTAGTTTCAGGTCTTTCAATGTCTGATTTATAGTCTTTATCACTCAAACCCTGTCTTTGCCATTTATATAAAAATGCAATGCTCACTTTTTATAATTCCTGCCCCCTCTCGAATTTTCAATTTTTTTTTTTCTAGATTTTTCACAAGTGAGGTAGAAGTTTTGTATCTGTACTCGCTACTCGACGTTCTGTGACGTCATCTTTCTTGACTTTTTCGGTGAATACTATCTCTCCTTTGCAATAGTTTTTGTTCATGGACGTAATATATTATATCACAATTTGGCATTTGAAATGATGTAACACTACTTAATTTGAAGGTTAACATTTTCTTTTTAGGTCCATTTATTTGAGATGTGAATATATACACTTTATTGTCTATCGTGATTGAGTTATTAAAATTTAACCGTGCTCTGTGATCCCATTTTAGCATTTCTTAAGTTTAGATAATTTTATTTCATGAAATATTTGCTTTTTATCCAAATTACAATGTATTTGTATGGATTGTAAAAATTTGTCTATTTAATATGATTACAAAATATGATGGTAAAGAAAAAAAGTTTTGAAAAAAAACTAAGCTATATTTTTTTTCCGTGTGTCAGACTACGTTATGTGTTTTATTTCAGGTATATCAAAACAACGTATGATGAAAATGAATGTTGTTGATTGATAAAAAGTCATCGAAATACTGTAAACGACTTAAATTCCACGTGTTCAATATTTTACGATTTTCAATGTTGTTACAATTCACGGTGGTTTTAATTTTACAATAACTTTTTATTTTCATCATTAAATATTTATGATTTTGAAAATAATTTATTAAACTAAACAAAGAAAGTTTTGGTTTTGTTTGTTTCTTTGTTGTTTAACGTCCCTTTCGAGAATTTTTCACTCATATGGAGGCGCCACCACTTGCCGGTGGAGAGCTGCAAATTTTGACCTTTACTCGGTACTCAGGGCCATTGAGCATGAGGGATCTTTTCGTGCCAGCACCTACTGCGACACGGCACCTCGATTTATACGGTCTCATCCGGGGGACCAGTCTCCACGTCCCACAGTGGGATTCGAACCCGCGACGTAAGGATCGAAACCTTACTCCTCGACTCTAGAGCAAACTCTCTAACCACTGCGCCACGCGGGCTACAAGGTAGTTTTGGTAAATTATTTGTAAAAACATATAAAACTATAATCTGCCGTTTTTTACTATCGAGATTCCTCACTGAATGATTTCCAATATATTGCATGTACAGAATACGAAAACATGGTTTTTAAGTACATTTTTAAAGCATGCCTTTTACATAGATATTTGGACGTTATACAACATGGCTTAATGATCGCGAAAAATTCTTAGATATCAAACAAAAAGAAAAAAATACCGCAATGAATATGTAATACACTCTTACAGTTTGAGATTTTGATTCGAGAATATTTTTTCCATGAAGAAATTTAGGATAAATTCTACCTCCTAAAAAGTAGGAAGGTTAATAAAGAGATTCCAAAAAACTATTTGGAGATTTAAAGATTACATAAATATTGTCTATCAGAAATCAAATCGATATCTTAATACATTGTATCTACTTCAGAATACTCGTGCAAAGAATCAGAATGGTTTTTAACGAATTAATTTTCTAGATGACTTATCTCAATATGTATGTATTTCAAAGTGCAATTTTTATTAAAGAAGCTATAGTATAAAATAATCTCTTTTTTCAATTTATCATGCAGAGTGATTATTCAAAAGATGTAGAGAAGTCATAGTTTTTTTATACGTCCCTGAGGTTGACAAGTGTTGTGATTTCAATTTCGCGGAAAGCTATTGCGAGTTTTATTATTGTGTATGGATTTTTCCGCTTGCCCGATCATGACAAGGAGATGCTTACCCCTCCATGACACCCGATCCCACCTTTAATGTTTTTAGAGCTCCATGTTATTTGTATTGCTCCAGTGCATTTTTGGAGCTTGATTTCGTTCGTTATCTACATTGTAGTGATAACACAGAATTCCAATAATATGTAATTCTAAAAACGAGCCTTTCAAACAAAGACCAATTTCAAAACGTTCGATGAAAATGGTGAAATTCAGTCCACTTTAAACTTATAAAAAAGATAGTGTACCAAATCAAAACCACAACAACTGAGTCAAAAAAAAAAATTCTGGAGAACAAATTGTTAATAAATAATATTTCTTTGACTATAAGACTACAAAATGTCTGTAATAACCAGGAATTTTAAGCAATAATCCGTACAATTAAAGTATAACAAATTGACATTGCTTTTACAAACAAACGTTTATAATCTGAGATTTTTCATTTTTTTAAGTATTGATCATTAAAGCAATAAGTGCTGCAACTTTGATATCGGAATTTTTTGTTGTAAAATTGTAATTATCTATTTCAATGACAGAAAAGCGTTCATAAACTTCTGTTGTTCATATTTGCGATGGAAGAACTATTTATAAGCTTTGATTGAAGCAAAATTACATTATTGTAGTCCTGTACAATATTAATTTCTTATATAATACTATATATTTGATTGTACAAAATCATTGATTCTGAAACAATTCTCATACTTTATTTCTGTCTAATTGATTAAAAAGGTTTAAATTACACACAAATTATCATAATAACACATTTTTACACAAAATAAAATGCTCAAAAATGCAGCTCATATTGATTTAAAGTTTATCTGACCTGACTGTAAACTACACAAAACATGACCATTTATTTCTCATGATCAGTACTATTTATAAATGGGCAAGCACCGCGGTAAAAATAAATGTAATTTTTAATTGTACATTGTATTTTTTTAGATGATATTTTCATGCAAGAAAAAATATTATATAATATATTTGACCATGATGACCATCTGCCTGTAAAGAATATAGCCAGAATATTTCGCTACAAGTGTTTTTTCTCCTTTAAACCAGGTTTCCCAGCTGTTTATCTTCATAGAATGCGTAGAATATCAACGGCATGGTTATGTTTACAAGTTCACTCGCTTTCAATACCTCACATTTTACGAAATGTGTTATTGCACTAATAGAAGAAATCAAAAATGCAAAAATCCATGTAAATTAAAAGTCTATATCTTTCAATTGCCGCCTATCCCCATTTTCTCGCTTGAACCTTATTAACTTTACGATCATTGAATTTATTTAAAGTACACTTAGGAAAAAAGCCATTAAGTTTACTGAATAGAAAAGAATGAATATTTTGAAGTAGATAAAATCTCACCAGAGTCCGTCCGAATTGTTCAGCAATGCTACAGAGTATCCGAAGAGACTGTTGTTTGGTCCATCATAGACGGTAAAATTCTTCACATCCAAAAAATAACTTTGAACAAAAATGACGAAAATATGAAAAGTCTGAACGATCCTCCAAAATTCTTTGAAATTCGTCATGATTTCGTTTTTTTCTCCATTTTAACTTTCTGCATTACGATTTGTCTAGTCAGAAGGGAAAATGTCAGTCGAACATAACATTATACAGAAATTAATATTAATTGGTGAAAAATCGCTCCAATCTATGCTGCATGGCAGTAAATATGGGCTTTTAGTGCAGATTACACATAACTTTTATTAATTCAGCAACCGTTTAAACTGTGTTAGCATTGTATATTCCAATAAATTGCCTGATCTAGCCATGGATTTCTGAGGTGATGACCACATCCGGATGATTCATCTCATTAATACAGAGGGAAACATCTCGGGATATCAAAGCATGACTTAGAGTATTAAGTATTAGCACTAGTTTTTGCTTTTAGTACGAGGTTTATTTTGACTTCATACAACAATTCAAACATGAACATAGTAATCGGTAGTTGTAGATATGCACCATCCATTTCTTTTATTATTAATTTTATATATATATTTATTTTATTTATTTATTTATTATTGACAACTTCAAATTACATGAGAAAAAATAATTTCAGAAAGTTTATTTTGAAAATTAAAACGTAAAACCTCTATTAATGCCTCAGAATAGAATTTCCTGTCATGCTTGCATTTAGTTTGGCCGATGTATAACTCTACGTACAGGGTATATTTTATTTCGTTTCTGCTTGTCAAGATTCTTCAATAACAAATCTCTCGAATTCCTTAAAGCTTAAAACATCTTGGCATATATCGGCTTATGAATGTGGAATTTAGAAAATCATACAGCATGTAAGTAATGAATGGGGGTGTTCTCATAATTTAAGAAAGAAGAGCATAAAGCCATAATTATAATGCGAAAATATAAAAAAAAAAAAAACAATCAGATTTGCATAATTTTACACACAGTAATCAAAAAGTGCAAACGTGTACAAACGGAAAATATACACATTAAGTTATACAGATACTTATAAAATACATATGAATTTAAAAAGGAAATATCATTTTAATTAAGTAAAACAGATATAGAATTTGCTCGTATTTTTTTTTACTTGCTTGATATAAATATCTTTTTAAGATGATTTTTAAAAATCTGAAAGTTGTTGAAAAATTATTCAATACTCTTGGTTTTTAATAGTAGCAGTCTGGACTTTTCAAGACTGAAAAAAAAAATACAAAAACATGCTCTCAGAGTGCTCAGAACTCGCATGTCCCACTTCATCAGCATTTTTAGTATCTAAAAAGTGAAAAGTACAGACATTTTTGTATACAGTACATTAATTGATGTATACATATTTAAGTGCCGTTTGAGCCTTTCGGTGATAAGTTTATACCCATTACAGAAAACCTTATTGTACCTGTAGACAAACGATGTCCCTGCGAGAAAACATGCAAATAATATATACTTAACGAGAAGTGCCTTCATCTTTGTGTTTAGAAATTAGACAAACATTCGATGTAAATCTGTCCTATAACATTCCAGTCATCTGGAAATGAAAATTAAGTAATGTTTCTTAGTACATGCATATAAATAAAACACACAATTAAGCTATGTTTGTTTTCTTTGAGCATTTTGTTCATAATATTCAAAGTATTTTTGCTGAAAGAGAAGGCTTGCAACTTTTCTCTCGTCGGCTGTTTTACCTCGCTTAAATTTCGCCTGATTTTATCTTAATATTGAAAACATGACAAAACACGGAATGTGCATACATCAATATTTTTTTATACATTGTTCTTTACTTTCTTTCTTCCGATTAATTTCTAAATGCCACCAATTTGTAAAATTTTCAATTAAATCTCTCACATCTAGGGTAAATTTTGTTGGTGTGCAACAGCGAAGTGAGGCAGACGACGAGTTTGTTTGTTTGTTTCTTTATTGTTTAACGTCCCTCTCGAGAATTCATATGGAGGCGCCATCATTTGCCGGTGAAGAACTGCAAATCTTTTACCTGAACTCGGCACTCAGGGCCATTGAACAGTGAGGGATCTTTTTCGTGCCAACACCTACTGCGACACTGGACCTCGGTTTATACGGTTTCATGCGAAGGACCGATCTCCACGTCCCACAGTGGGATTCGAACCCGCGACGTAAGGGTCAACTCCTTACTCTGCGACTCTAGAGCGAACGCTCTAACCAATGCGCCACTCGGGCGACGAGAAAAGAGTTTGAAGCCTTCTCTCTTTTATGTATCAGTCGAAAAGAAGATATTTAAAAACAGCTAAAAGAAACAAAAGTATTGCATTATCGATAACATGATCGATCTAAAAAAAAAAAAAAAAAAAAAAAAAAACATTATATACAAATCTGTGAACAGGGCATAAAACACGGACCACAGGAAATTCTAGAGGTGAGATCTGGTGCCTAGGAGAAGTAAGCATCCCCTGCTGACCGGTCACACCCGCCGTGAGACCTAGGTATTTATCAGGTAGACAGAAAAAGTTAAATTTGCAATAAAAACAAAGGCCCAACAATTGGTCTGAAACACGTCAGCAAAAATACGACACAATAACATTATTTCTACTAACAAGTTCATTATGAAGATTATAAAATTTACGCAATGTTGATCTGAATGAGATTGTTGAAATCCCTGTAACATGAACTTACCTATGAGTATCATGCCTCGGTTAAAAATTGTTCATACTCAGGGCATGCTCGTGATTATCGGATAAATTAGGAGGCATAAACACCATATGCAGGTGATAGAGGAATGTTACTACATTAAAAACATTGTCGATTAGTAATGACCTAACCTTAATAGAGAAAAGAATAAGCCCCGATTTGAAAACTTCAATAAGGTACAATGTTCATAATATTCAAATCAAATTGATATATCTCCCCATTTACCAACATTCAAGCACAAAAATTCAAGTCCATAATTATTATGCAGTTGTATAGATTGGTAGACTTTATGTGGTATCATGTTTTATACAGACAGATTTATTTTTTTTTTCTTTTGAAATAGAAGTAGGAATTACATGATTGTCTACAGTAATATTTTATTCTTAATGACACTGGAAAAGATAATGACCTTGACCTGAACTTGTTCATTAGATAAAACACTCAAATTAAATTACCTTATACCATCACTTAGTGATATTGTCTTCTTGAATCTGAGAAAATTTCATTAACATTTTAATACAATAAATATGAGAAGAATCCCTTGTTTGCAAAGTATTTAAGCACCTTATATTACTGCATATATTATTTTTCAATAAAAATAGAACTAGTAAATTTACTTACCTTGTCAATGGTCATTTGTAAAAATTATTTTGATAACAAACATTCTGATTGTACAGACAAGTACTCTGAAGTTGATATTAAAAAGATGCTTAAGTTTCTGATTGTCAATATCATGTGGTTTTTGGAGACCAGGTCTTCCAACAATCTATTGGAATTCATATGGGTACCTATTCCACCCATTTGTTAGCAGACCTATTTTTGTACTCATATGAAGCAGAATTTGAAATTGAGTTTTAAATTTTGAAAAGAAATATCTTGCTGTGGTCTTTAACTCGACAATTAGATATTTCTTTTACGTATTATCAATTAAAAATAGTTATTTCCATTCATCTGTCGACACGATATATCCCAGTGAGCTTGAATGAAATATATCCCAGTGAGCTTGAATGAAATATATGGAGATAACGAACAGTATTCAAGCTCAAAAGTCTATTAAATAATACAAAATAGGAGCAAAGCAAACACGAACCTCTAAACATCAGAGGTGGGATCAGGTGCCATGGAGGAGTGAGCATCCCCTGCCGACAAGTCACACCCGCCGTGTGCTCCTTGTCATGATCGAGAAATAACGGAAAAATCCGTCGACAATTCAGTGTGTAAATAATGGCCTAACAATTAGTATGAAAAACGTCAGTCAGCATTTGACTCAATGATAAATTGTATTTGCTGACAAGGTCATTGTATCGACCATAGAACTTACGAAATCATGATTTTAAACGAGACAGCTGATATTCTTGTTTCATCAACTTGTTTGTCAATAATTTACCTCGTTTTAGAAATTGTACATACGTAGAGCATGCTCTTGCGTATCGAAATTATCGTAAATAAAAGATACCAGAGTCTGACATATCTGTTTCATATTTGGATATTTTACGAGAAAAAGACGTTAATGGTAATCTAACAACAAAGCTGATAAACGTGATGACTTTAACTTTTCAATCGTCAACTTCCCTTGCTTATGCAGCAGTATACCCTTTTCACCTGCATATGGGGTGTATATCTCTCAGTTGATTCGATACGCAAGAGCATGCTCTACGTATGAACAATTTCTAAAACGAGGAAAGTTATTGACAAACAAGTTGATGAAACAAGAATATCACCAGTCTGACTTAAAGTCGTCATTTCGTAAGTTCTATGGTTGATACAATGACCTTTCAGCAAATACAATCTATCACTAAGTCATATGCTGACTGGCGTTTTTCATACTAGTTGTTAGGCCATTATTTACACATTGAATTGTCGACGGATTTTTCCATTATTTCCCGATCAAGACAAAGAACTCACGGGGGGGGGGGGGGGGGAGGGAGGGGGTCGGTAGGGGATGCTCATTCCACAATGGCACCTGATCACACCTCTGATGTTTTTGGAGGTCTGACTGCTCTGCTCCCGATTTGTATTATTTTAATGGACTTTGAGCTTAAATACTGTTTGTCATATTCTGGTAATTAAAGAAAATTACAGTGTTATTATCAAATATTTCATTTAATGTTTTATTTATATTTATATAAACATATATATCTATACATACATACATGTATATTACATTTAAATCGAAATGAAATAAATGTTATATCACAATTATTTAAATAAACTAACATTCAGCTAAATTGTTACCAATTTCGTTTTTTAAACACCATAGATTAATAAAATTAAAAAACAAATAATAAACAAGACAACAACTCACTTCTTTTCAATGAAACTTATGGAAGAGTGCATGTTTATAAATCTTATTTAGGGACATTTTATTAATAATATATTCGTTTTTAATTAATAAAGATATAATATTTTGCCAATCAATAAATCTGCCAGCGGTTGCCATCTTCTCACCGCCAAATTTCATCATTGCTTGTACGTATAGATATTATGTACGAGGGCCGTTCAAAAATTATGCGGACTCTGCTATCATTTACTCTTACAGACGTCAAATAGAATTGAAATTACACAGGAACATATTTCTTAAAAATTCCAATAAATTCATGGTAATTTTTTTTTATTTTATTTAATATCTCGTAAAATTATCGCAGTTTTGATACTGTTGATGGTGATGTACGGAGCACGGCAAAAATGTTGAAAAACAAACAGGCGGTATCCAAAATTTTTTCATTTATTTTCCATATTTCACGATATTATTCAATGAAATATATGGAGATAACGAACAGTATTCAAGCTCAAAAGTCCATTATACAATACAAAATAGGAGCAGAGCAAACACGGACCTCCAAACATCAGAGGTGGGATCAGGTGCCATGGAGGAGTGAGCATCCCCTGCCGACCGGTCACACCCGCCGTGTGCTCCTTGTCATGATCGGGAAATAACGGAGAAATCCGTTGGCAATTCAGTGTGTAAATAATGGCCTAACAATTAGTATGAAAAACGTCAGTCAGCATTTGACTCAATGATATATTGTATTTGCTGACAAGGTCATTGTATCGACCATAGAACTTACGAAATGATGACTTTAGACGAGACAGCTGATATTCTTGTTTCATCAACTTATTTGTCAATAATTTACCTCGTTTTAGAAAATGTACATACGTAGAGCATGCTCTTGCGTATCGAATCAACTGAGAGATATATACCCCGTATGCAGGTGATGAAGGTATATTGCTGCATAAGTAAGGGAAGTTGACGATTGAAAAGTTAAAGTCATCACGTTTATCATAAAGCTTGGTTGTTAGATTACCATTAACGTCTTTTTCAAGTAAAATATCCAAATATGAAACAGATGTGTCGGACTCTGTGGTATCCTTTATCTCAAGTTCATCAGGATATATCGTATCGACATAAGAATGAAAATAGCCATTGTTAATTGACAATACGTCGTCGATATATCTAAATGTCGAGTTGAACGCCACAGCAAGTGATTTCTTTTTTTCACGTACAAGTTTTTGGACAAATTCTGCTTCATATGAATACAACAAAAGGTCTGCTAATAACGGGGCGCAATTGGTACCCATAGGAATTCCAATAGATTGTTGGAAGACCTGGTCTCCAAAAACCACATAGATATTGTCAATCAGAAACTCAAGCATCTTTTTAATGTCAACTTCAGAGTACTTGTGTGTACAATTAGAATGTTTTTTAACAAAATAATTTTGCAAATGACCAATGACAAGGTAAGTATATTTACGAGTTCCATTTTTATTGAAAAAGCAGCTGTCAATGATATCAAAAAGCCTGGACTTTAATTTATCGTGGGGAATGGTTGTGTATAAAGTAGAAAAGTCGTTAGTTTTTAAGCTGTTGATTTTGGTAAAATCTTGTGATTTCAAATTTTCCAAAACTTCCTTGGAATTTTTAAGTATCCACATCTGATTTACACCACTTCTCGAATATATTGTTGCACAGTACTCTTGAAGTTTCTCCTTCACCACTGTTAATATCTTAGTGAGGAGTAAAGATAGAGGCTTGGTTGAACATTTACTGGAACCCGCTATGTATCTTTGTTTGTAAGGATTTTTATGAAGTTTCGGAATCCAATATAAATATGGTAATTCGAATTCATTTTGGTTGTTTGGAATATTAAATATATTCAAACCTGACATATGATTTTGAAGAATTTCTTCCTTAGAAAGGGAACTATGAGTATAAGTTGGATTACCACTTGTAGAATTAAATCCAAGTTCCTCTAAAATACATTTAATATAATGAGCCTTACAAACAAAGACAATGTTGTTACCTGCTTTGTCAGCAGGAACCAGTACGTACTGATCATGTAATCTATCTAATTCTATTTTCACTTCTGGATTATTGAATACAGAAGGATAGTATTCAACAATTTTCTCTAAAATTTCTTTTTATTGTTTTATTATTAAGTATTTAGATTTCTGGCGTAATATTTGAAGTACTAACAGAAATATTGTAATTTTTCTCCGATATGACCCTTACGAAATCAACGGCAAAAATGACGTCACTTGATTTGACGGAGCAGCGCACTTTTATCAAATCATGAATCCTGCTGGGAAAACGCCAATAGAGACGCAAAATAAGCCTAAAGAAACAAGTAGTAAACCAGCGGAATATCCAAGACATCTCTACAAAATGTAAAAAGAATTCTAGACTGTTAGACCTTAGTTAAAAGGTAATCCGGGAGGGATGGAAGAAGTTCATCGACAAAATACTGATCTGGGCTGTTAAGAATGTGATTGAGATCGACTGACGTCAAACTTTACTTCAGAAAATATCTGCAGTTTTGGGGTTTAACACAAACTAAAACACACAATACTAGTTTTATACTTTTTATGCTGAATCAGAAATGGTATATGGATGTTTGTTCTGAGTGGATAGGGTAACCCAGACTATACAGTATCAAATGCTAAGGGAAAATATCGAGAAAATTAATGAAAGCTCCTATTTTTTAAAATGCCCATGACGTTGAAGGTTTTACTGCGCCGTGACTTCATGACATGTCCTTTTAAATCACTTGAAGTTGATACCAATTTACAAGATTTTGATATGAAAGAACAAGGTTCACTTAGGGCCTTTTTTGGCCCTGTGAATTTCTGAAAAACTGAAACTGCTTAGTTTTAGCTGACAATGCGTTAAATTTCATTTAGACCTTTGGTGATTGCGAATCTACCAAAAATGACGTAATTTTCTGGCTAGTCAATGCATTATGACGTCATGAAACGCGTCATTTTCCTCATATCATAAACAATTCTACAAAAGCAGCCAATTTTTAAAGCTATTTTTCGATATTTAATATAGAGCGCAACCTCTGATCTAAAATATGCAATTATTTACTGATAGAACCGTTTCTGAGAATTACAAAACATGTTTCATTTTTTAGATCAGAGGATGCGCTCATATTATTTTTCTTCTCTGAAAGTACTTAAATATACCTGTTTTCCTTCAAATTCAAGAACATTGCAATTCCATAAAGCTTGTTTTCCAAGACCTGGACTTTAAGGAGAAAAATTTTAATAGGAAATGAAAGCACTAAGTCTCTACTTTAGCTTGATGTTTGAAATTGAACATAAGGTGTTAGTAAATAAATTGGTATATATACAGGGCCATTTTATACATAAAGTGAACCTAGTTCTTTGATGATCATATATGATAAGATTCTTTTATATTATTTATGACTTTTTGCTTGATTATGTCGTCAAATATATTTTCCGTGCAGCAAGTCCGCGTAATTTCTGAACGGCCCTCGTATAAATGCAGTTCACAGTTTTCATACTTGAAATTAAAGACATCAAATAAACGTTATGAGGTTACGAGTATTTCACCTTTGTGAAACATTAGACTCGCCAAACCAATATTATTCAAAATTAGATTTAGAATAACCATGTAGCAGTTTACAGTGCCTTTCATAACAAGATAAAATAAAATATCAAAATGCTTTTCATATACATGTATACGTGTCTCCTGGAATTTCGATATCAACAGATTATTTTAAAAACCGCTGCATGAAACCAGTCATTATTTTGACAGGGATGATGTTAAATTAAACAGATTTCCAATATTAATATATAATAATTCTACAATATATTATCATTAATCTCAAATCATCAAAAGAATCTGCAAAATATGAATTCCGTTATCAAAACAATGACTTCCCACTCGTTTAATTAAATATTCTGTATAGGCTCTAATCATATTTTTTGTTCTGTCATTTTTCATCAAGAGTTCATGGCTGTTACTAGAGTTGAGGGTTTTGACGGTATGTCTCAAGGGTGTAACCCTAATGGGGACACAGGTTTTGTATAATGCCATCCCTGCTGTTCCCCCCCCCCCAAATCCCTTTGATTGTTTGGAAGTACTAATTTGATAATAACACTGTAATTTGTAATTTTCTTTAATTACCAGAATGCAAAAGTAAGTTCCGTTCGAACACAGTTGTACAACAACCTACAGTATTGAATGTACGGTGCCTTATAAATCGACGCACGAAACTTTGTTCCATTATATGTATTCTGAACATTCAAAACGTTCGAAATCTCGACCTTTTCCCGTCTCTATTGAGTTTTCAGTTGGCTTCAACAGGCTTTACCCTAACTATTACCCATATAGAGACGTCACCAAATATACTGAAGGGCTTTAAATTTAGACCTTTACTCGGCACTCAGGGCCACTGAGCAAAGATGGTTTTGCCAACGCCTATTCGTGAAACGGGGCCTCGGTTTTTTAAGGTCTCATCCGAAGGACCCGCAACTTTCACTTCAAAGTGCCGAGCGCTTGGCGAAGGAACAGTTGCTACCTATTTTATCGACTTAGGTCAGTAGCGGCGTGAACCTCGGGTAGAAGGGCGCAAAGGAAAATACGGAGAGCAAAGAAACAAATAAGGGCGGTTTTAGACAATCGCATTACAGCACGCACAGACTGAGGCGCGGTACCCTGATAGTTTTTGTTCAAAATATATAATTTATATTTTTTAGATAAAGAAAAGGGTTATCAAGTATTTTAACCCTTGACAGTGTGGTCTGTGTTTCATGAAATGGGTGTTTAATTAAACAATACAATACTTTTGTCGTTCATTGATGATGGCTTTAAAGGTTGCAACTATATTGCAAAAAAAGTACATTACCCTCGTAAGCTGAATACTAGAGTACATGTATTTACTTTTCTCTGCAGTGATCGCTACTGCTAATCCAGCATCAACAAAGAAATAACATTTTAATTGTTAACATTTTTGTCTGTTTAAAAATTCTATAAAGTTGGTTTGAGTTTGTAAAATACTGAATTACTGATTTGTAGGTCATGGTATGTTTCATTGATGGAAGAGTCCACTGCTTGAGAAATTAAATTAATGAACTGATAAAGGGAAGTAGTTTCATTAATTCTAGATGACATTTACTAAACTCTTACTATTTATGTAGAATTTTTGTGAACCTTATTTTCAGTTACGCATCATGGTCACCTTGACGTGTATATAAGAAGCCACTTTTCTACCTCTCTGAAATAAGCTAATAACTTGTGCTTATATATCACCTGAGTTATACCTGTGAGAATCTAAACCAATAGAATATAATCTGTTTTGGTGAGCAAAGGCAATATAAAACAAAGCATGGTCATCTAGTTCTCACAGAGAATACTGAAACCACTCCGCAGGCAGAAATAACAAGGTAATTAATTTTTATGTGTGTGTTTATTTATATTTTTTTTTTTATTTTGATTTCTCTTGCTGTTTATTTGAAGTTTTTTTTTTATTTCCCAAGCTGTTTAATTCAAGCTTAAAATAATTGATTCCGGTTCCTTCATTTATTTGTGCTTAAAGTAAATAATTTGTCTACTAACTATGAACATTTTATGTCCTAATACCTGAATACTTATGTTAATTTCCTATCAAATTTAACAAAGTAAACTATTAATAGATAATTATCCAATTATTGCCATAAGATCAAAATACCAGTTAAAGTGACAACTAAACTGATATATTTTAATATTTTAAATTCAGATTCCTATGGTATGAAATACCGAACCATTATCTTATAAAAAATCATTTTTTTAAACATTAGTTTTCTTGAGATACTGTTTATCATATATTATATTTGATTTGACAAGATTTTTTATCTTCCAGCTATGGATTTTAAACTTCTGCTGTGTTTTGCATTCATCGTTCTTTCAGGTAATGTTTTACTAATTCTTATCAACTTCCAAAAACGGTTGTGTTTTTGTTGTTGTTGTCAAGTATTAAGTAATATTTGATTCAAATTTTAAAAATGCCATCACTAGATCTTATATGTTTGTATGGTTTTCTAACTAATGAAAAAAAGAAATGTTTCCTTAAAAACTTTAAATGATTTTTTTACTGTGGGGTCAACAAAAACGTTTTTACTATACGAATATATTTAATAGAGGGTGTATTCAGTTGTATTTTATGTTTGTCTTCAAAAATTAAACTCTTACACATGAAGTTAATATCTAGTAAAGAAGGATACGACAAAACAGATATGACTATCATTTACTTCATGGGGAAGACGACCAAAAAATAGTTTTAAATTTCGTTTGTAAATGTTCATTATTCCATTCTTTTTTTTTTTCAGCCAGAGGAGCTGTATGTCTCAGTGAGTTGTCCTTGTCGTGTTGATGTTTCCTTTGTAACTATTCCTTCAGATTAACTTTTTAATTAAAACATTTATTACATTAAATAATATAACATTAAAACATTTAAAAAAATTATAACATGTAATCCGGATAAACGAAAGCGATAAACTCGGTATAATTATAACTAATTAAGGGGAAAAAAAACAAGTTGACAAATAAGGATAGTTGATCCAGTAAAATTGGACTGCGGATGTGACGGGTAAAAACTTTTGAAATTATTAGTTAGGAGGAAGGATTTTAGGAATGTATGACTGACTTTAACTGAACACATATATATGATGTGGGCTTAGAATAATAGGTAGTAAAAGCTATACCAAAGCATTTGAGAAAATCTTCGATACACTCCTTTTTTTCGACCTGAAATATGTGTCTTCTTATTCCGTGCAATATTTTTGAATTAATTGCTTTGACCGTAATTTTGAATGTTAATAGTTTTATTCTAATTAAAATTATAATGCTGTTTCATATTTAAAGCTTAAATTCATTATTCAGGATATTATAAAACACCAACAACGTTATATATTACATTTTGATCTGAAACATTAACATTTCTAATTTCCAAAATTCATATTTTGCGTTTATGATCTACCCATTTAATAGAAAATTGATGCTTAAAAATCTAAACTTCTTTTCTTTTATAATTTTTCTGTTTTGATGTTTAAACGTTGATCTTATTTTTTTAAATATAAATTTCAAATTTCGAACCATTATACATTGTATTTACATTTGCAATTTTTTTTTCTTTTTTATTACATTTTTAACAGTGAAACACTGTAAGTGATATTCTCTCACAGTGTGAAAAAATACCAAAATGATATTCTGTTACAGTGTGAAAGAATATCAAAGGAAGTAAAAGATAATTTCTGGCCTGTAATGAGATAGAGAAAATAACTAAAGGATCTGGATAGATACTAAAACTGCCAATTTCTTCCAAAATATATTGTTAAAATCCATCTTACAATATTTTCAATTCTATAACGTCTTAACTGCTCAACTATGAAGTTAGAGCCTATGACACTGTGTTAAGAAAAGACAGAGGCAAAGGGAAAATGAAAGAAAATGTTATAAACAGAAAATTAAAAGTTTGGTAGCTGGATATGGAATTTAATGCACGAGTGATATAGGACTTTTTTGTTATTTTCACTCGTGCTTCGTACTTGTGAAAATTTCAAAAAATCCTGTCTCACTCGTGAAATAAATTCTTTATCCAAACGAGGCAAGCAATTGACAAACAAGTTGGTGAAACAAGGATATCAACAGTCTCATTTGAAGTCATCATTTCGCAAGTGTTATGGTCAATACAATGACCTTGTCAGCACATACAATCTATCATTAAGTCAAATGCCGACTGGCGTTTTTCATACTCATTGTTAGGCCATTATTAATACACTGAAATGTCTACGGATTTTTCCGGGTTTTTTCCCGATCATGACAAGGAGCACAGTGGTTGTGACCGGTCGGCAGGGGATGCTCACTCCTCCATGGCACCTGATCCCACCTCTAAATTTTGAGATCCGTGTTTGCTCTGCTCCAAATTTGTATCGCGGTGTTTTTTAATTCTGTGTAAAAACAGGTTCGTCATTTGTCCTTAAATTCATTGTTCAGTCATAAACGATTGGCGTAATTTTGCAGTGACGTCATAACTGGTAGACGAGTTCAACACATTCAGTTATACTGTTGAGGTTTGAAAAAGAAATAAATCATTTTATGTATTTTAAACTTCAGTACATAAGATACGTTGTAAATCAGTCTAAAATGTAAATATAAGTCCTTCAGGCTTTATGGGATTTGATCACATGACCAACCTGTACTTACATCCCTATAAAAGTTTTAAAATGATACCTTTTTTCTTAATTAGATTTCTAGAATCAAGATTAATGTCTATCTAAAATCTCAATCAGCTAGATGGAAGGATGGCACTAAATGAGTGGTTACTTAATGTACGTTTAAAACATTAACATTCACGGCTCACAATAATGTTTTTAAAAAAAGTATAAAGGATAGAAAAAAATGTCAATTCTGTATTTCCACTGCAAAATTTTCATTAAAAACAATCATACTTAATAATCAAAAATTATTTAGAAATATATGTTCATATTCCAATACAAAATGTATTTACTTTCATATTTCTACCCAAGTTTCTATCCAAGTTCCTCATCTAAACACACCTCAGAGTTACATGTACTAAAACGAAATGGTAACAACTTTTTAGACTAATATAGACCAAATGTTACAAATAGATCCGAGGCGAAATAGAAACAAGCCGACTTGACAGATTACTTCACAGTTTCATAATGGCTAATGTTAATCAAAGCTTTATAGAAAAAAAGAAATAAAGAAAAATAGCATGATTAAATAAAATAATTACTTTTATTCAATCTTTCATTAAGACTTTATTCTTTGCTAATGAATCTATTCCTTATTTAAAGGTGTCAAGAGACTGTTCGATTTTGTTATTGAGGGAGGTGAAAGTGTAGCAGTCACGGTACAAAAAAACAGGACAGATCCCAGAATAAGATGGTCTTTTCTTCCAGGTAAAACACCCATCCTAATTTCTTCTCTTGTAAGAAAACTATGATATTAAAAGGTTAACTATGGAAAAATTGTAACACATTCAACAGTGACGTACCATAATTATTCATTGGATATGTTTGCTAATTTTCTTTTTTTTTTTACCGGTAATAATTTATCAAAAAATGTGTAATTTACAAAAAATGTAAAATCTAATGTTTCATATGAGGTAAAAAGCAGAGTACTCATTATTCCATACATTTTCTGATTAAAAAGAGCAAAGTACACGTTATTACCACATAGAATTTTAATTGTTTGTATTGTGAAATGAAAACAGTAATATTGTATTAATCACAGCATTATTTTAAAAGGCAATATGTCTTGCACATGTATATTCCAATTTGATCATCCAATGTATCATAATTTCGAAGGATATAAGGAACTTCAAATATTATTGCTTCTAAACTCCAAACAAGATACATATATCATTATGAAGTTTTTCAGCAGATGAGTGTCAAACTACTTAAGTATCATAGTAATGGAAAGTCTCAAAGTAAAGTACCAAAAGTACCATGGCTTTTTTAGTGTTAAACTAATAAAATATCATAGTATAGGAAGTGTCAGAGTAAAGTAGGAAAAGTATCGAGGTATAGGAAGTGTCAGAGTAAAGTAGGAAAAGTATCGAGGTATAGGAAGTGTCAAAGTAAAGTAGGAAAAGTATCGAGGTATAGGAAGTGTCAAAGTAAAGTAGGAAAAGTATCGAGATATAGGAAATTGTCAAAGTAAGCTACTATAGAGACTACTATAGAGACATAGTAAAGGAAACTATCACAGTAAAGTCTCCCAGTTTCAGAGTTTAGAAATTCATCTAAAGTATTCATTTTAGTCTTCTTCATTTTACTATATAATGATACAAATATCATCTTTTTGAGGTAAATCCATAGCTTTATCGACTTTACAGAGAAGTATTTAAAGTGAGGATGAAGTGCGAAGTCGACATGCTTTTCTGTGAAGTTGATATTATCTATGGATAAAAGGAATCAAAGGGCTACATTTGTTATTTTGGTTTCCTTGGAAGAAAAAAAAATGCTAAGTTCACTGTATTAGAATTTGTACGTTTTAAAGACTTTTCACCATTATGAACGGAACTGTGGATTTTCCCTATGTCATTTTTTCTAACTCAAGTCAATGTTGTTAAATATAATTTTGCAGGTGGTATCAAACAAACTAGATTTAGTGAATTACACACACACTAAAATAAATTAAAATTTAGCTAAATATGACATTTAATGTTAGGGTATTGAAGACCTTTTGACTAGTGCAAAATTAAGAACATCTTCGAATAAATTACAATAAGACTTTGCAAACATAACTAGATGAAGCACATCATAAAAGAATCTGCTTTTCAATATGCATTTAATACAGTCAAAAGCTGTATACACTATTTTAAATTTCTTTGACAGAAACACAAGACATACAGTTCCGGGAAACCCCCTTCGGACTCAATGTATATGCCCTTGAAGATGACCGAGTGGAGGGAAAAAGAAATTATCTTTTAACTGCTCGTAACGCTGAAACAGGGGAAATTCTCAAAACAGTTAATTTTATCGTCGTTGATAATGACGGTAAGTAGAATAATCTAAATCTTTTTTCCCGTTTCCTTAAAAAAACATATTTGATTTCATGCTATCCATCAAACTTGATGCCACCTAAAATGATAATCATGCTTAAAATGAAACGCGTAACGCAAAAAAAAAAAATACTTCTTAGCTCACCTAAGTCAAAAGCTCGATTGACCTTTTCTTAAAGAATGGTGTTTGGCGTTGGTCTTTCCGTGTGCCACATATCGATCTGTTTTTTCACATTTTCAAGTCTCCAGATTACTTGACCGATTTTAAAAGAACTTTCATCACTGATATGCGGGGAATCAAATTTATTCAAATACAGAGCCACTCCTTCTTTCAAAGGCAGATAATTAAGAAATGTTGAAAATTTGGTGTCATCATTTCAAGATATTCTTCTCAAGAACCGTCGCCTGCGTGGGGCAATGGTTTGAGCGTTTTCTCTAGAGTCGCGGAATAAAAAGATGTTCCTTGCGTTGTGGGTTTGAATCCTACAGCGAGACGTGGAGACCAGTCCTTTGGGTGAGATTGTATAAACCCAGGTCCCCTGTCGCAGTATGTGCTGGCAGGAAAAAGATCCCTCAGTGCTCAAACGCCGTAAGTACCGAGAACAGATTTAAATTTGGAGCCCTCCTCCGGTAATTGATGACGGCTATTGAGACGTTGCCGTTTGTCGGTGAAAAATTCTCGAAGGGATGTTAAACAAACAAATAACCTTCTCAAGAACACTGGGTTAGAAGAGACAAGACTTCTATGAAAATGAATGTAAAAATAACGAAAAGAGATCATTCTCCAAAGTTCATACGGCCGATTTATGGCTGCGATATTGCCGACTCGGAGTTAAGCGATAATTAATTAAATAATCAATCAAATATTCATTTAAACAATAAATTTATGAGTAGAGCCAACGCAGACCTCTGAAAAAAACAAACTGGATCAGGTGCCATGGAGGAGTAAACAACACCTGTCGACCGGTCACATTCATCGTGTGCTCCTTTTCATGATCAAGTTAACAGAAAGTTCAGTGTGAAAATAATGGTCTAACAATTTGTATGATAGAGGTCTGTCAACATTCGACTGAACGACTGATTGTATTTGCAAAAAAGGTCATTACAGCGTCCTTGTGATGAAGGCTTATTTAATGAATTTAGATTCAAGGATGTTACAGAATCAAAATTCTATTTTATTTATAAATTGTTATATACGAGGGTTGTCCCAGAAAAACGCGAACTTTTTAAATATTTCATAAACTACCTTACCAAAATTATTCATTTTTGGCACAATGTTGGGAATGATACTTTCGTCGTTTTGACCAAATACTATATGGTTGGATTGTCATATGCATTTAGAAACAGCATTAAAGGGGGTAAAATATCGGTGGTCAGCGCACGGCAATTTCTTGACTTTCAAAATTAGCACTGCCATCTATGTTTTCTTTATTACAAAGCTATACGGAAATATAATGTGACAAAAATTACATTCATAGAAACTGTACTATACAGAGGACTCTTTTGTAAAAAAAAATTTTATTACTTTGACATCATAAATAACAAAAATATGACGTTATATAACCAAACACTTTTAGTTAGATATTGTCAAAAACGGCGACGTCGGGCGATAATGCGGAGCACCAAATTATCACTCAGTGCTGTGTGGAGCAGGGTATGACATCTGTCTATACGGGAAAGGAGCTAGAACGAAGGAACGACACAAATGCATGTATCGAACACTGGTTTATAAATAGTAAAAGAGGTTCAAAGATGGATGGACTGGTTATCCGACAGAAGAAGCGTTTGGTACACCGAACAAAAATGACGACAAACTGAAAAATCTAGAGCTGGACGCCATTCATGGAGACCACCGTTACATGTAACTATGCGAGCAGTTAAGTTTCTGATCAGGGTTGAGAAATTATCTATTAAAAGAATTAATTTCTTGATTCATTCTTAACTGTTTTATGTGTGAAATGGATAATTCGGTAACTAAAAGAAAATCAAATGCAGTATGGAGTATCTGCTTCGAGCGAATTATTCAAGACACACAACTCCTGAACAAAAAAACACCATGCGCTACGTTTTGACGTCGTCGGTGTTGCGTCGGGAGCTATTTTGAATGATTCGTTTATCAGAGATAAAAATGTTATTCATAGAGATATTTTATTGAAATTTCTGTGAATTATGTAAAAAAAAATTGCTTATGGTGCATGTTAATTTTTAACTTTAAAATATTAGTGAAACGAAAAATATTGAAAAAGTTTGCATTTTTTCTGGGACAACGCTCGTACACAAGCATCCTCGGATTGTTCAGATTTAAGTTAATTCAAATCAGGTCCCCAGGGCTTGGGTTGGGCAAGAATAGGGGGCAAAGTTTTAAATGGTAATAAACAGGAAAGTATCTTTCAGGATCTTCTTGAAACAGGAGGGCCTGATTAATGTTATTATAATGCAAGTATCCTCAGTTAGTGCAGATTCTCTTTTTTTTTCAAATCACGGCTCCAGGGATAAGTTTAGATCACAATAGGGCATAAAAGTTTTAAATGGAAATATGTACGAAAAATCCTCTAAAAACAGCACTGCCATGAGAATATACATTAAACATTTGCACTAGCTGAGGCTTAAATATCATTTTGTGCAGGAACCGTGAGAAACGCACAACTTCCGTGTATAAATCGGGAGAGGAACGAATATGATTTATTCGGAAGTCATTTAAATACGGCTCTAGTCTGGTCAAGGTTTCAAAATCTGTGATTTAATCATGTAATCAGTTATTTGGATTTTCAGTCCGGTGGTGTTTTAAGAGTGATTTTTTCTTTTAAATCCCAGAGAAAAACAATTTAACTGCAAGTTACACAGTGGCATTTAAATGTATTTGTTTATTTTTTTTCTAAATTAAAGTAACATAGAAAAAGTGTGAAAAGTAATTATTTTTACAGCAATTCAAAGGGGCTGGAAATTGATACATGTACGTTGTAGATATTTTGCATGTTATGCGATATTAGCTTTTAGTTTTTGTTTAAGATATCAATATTTAAGAAAGGAATCTTTTCAAAAGAAAATTCACCAGAACTCTGCTCTTGTCCTTGATACATGTTACATGTTGTATTTTGATACATGGCCGATACAATGACCTTGTCAGTGAATACAAATTATCATTAAGTAAAATGTTGAATGAAGTTTTACAAATAAATTGTTAGGCTATTACTTAAACATTGAATGTCTACGGATTATTCCGTTTACCCATTCATAACAAGGAGCACACGGTGGGTGTGACCGGTTGATAGAGGATGCTTACTCCTCCATGGCATCTGATCCTACTTTTGATGTTTTAGATATCCTTGTTTGCTGTGCTCCAAATCTGTATTGTTTCAATGGGCGTTTGAACTTTTAATGTTATAAAACTGCTAGTTTAATATTTATTTTCATTGGAACTATAGGCCTTTTTCAGTGCACGTTTTGAATGTTTATTTTATACAATGTTAACAAATAAATAAGTTGTAATAATATTCATAAGCAGAGCGAAGTCAGTATGAAGCATATTGTTTTCAAATGAATATTTAAAATGATATTTTAAAATTAATTAACCTATGTAACTTTTTCTCCAGTAATGCAAGAAGTGCATGATGTAGGCTTTTTATTGACATAAAGGCCTATAGTTGTTGTATCCCGAACACCGATATCTCGAATACCATGGATATGTCGAAGTGACGTAGAAGTACCAACTCCTTAATCTTTAAGTATTTTACCTTGGATATCTCGAATCCTTGGATATCAAAGTTTTTTTCTCGGTCCCTTTGAGTTCGATTTAACGAAGTTTGAAGTTTGATCTCGGATAAGAATTCTTTTGAAAAATATGTTTTGTGAACAAAAAAATAAGAAATGTCTTTTTTGAATAAAATGCATTTTGTAACAAGACATTAAAATGTCTCGTTTCTTGTTTCTTTACAAAGAAAAATAAAAACTTTTGTCAAGAATTATTTTTTCCTATTGACATAAATAACTTGCATGCTGACATAATTATCCTACAGGAGACGAAGACAATAAGATTCTTGGACTCATATATAAAGTTGTTTTTTTTTTTTCAGTATCCAACATGCATTTCCTGAAGAAAAAAATGCAAACTTTTATGCATAATTAATTTGTCTGAAATATTAGACATGGACACATTTTGTTAATCATATTTTAATATAACAAAACAACTTTTTTTACGTTTTAATATGAGTGTATGTCTTATATACACCGTTCATGTGACACATTTACAGTTTTATAATCTTTTCTCACATAATATTATCTAACACTCGCTTCTCCAATTCTGTTAAAATACATACTTTTAAGTTCATTAAGGTGAAGTCATACTAGAGTTTGACATCATACTGTAAATCAATATTGAGACGACCGTGCTTGGTTTAATTTTCCCTCGAAATTAGCAATATTTTCCAAATTGCTTTTATGATTTTAATGCAGTATTCTTCCAAAAATGATCGAAAAAGGCTTTATAATATGATGAAAAAACTGGCCTATAGTTGTTTTGGAATTGTGCAGAGATCGATGTATGTACCTGATAATGAGGTTTCGATTGTGTCAAAGTGCTTTATTGTTTTTAAATTATTAGGCTAAAGTCTTTGACAAGATTTAGTTTTTGTGAAAAGCAATAAATTGACAAATATATTTAAAATTGCTTACTTTAAAAGAGATGTATTTATTTCAACTTTTATACTTATAAATGACATTCTTTTAAAAATAAAAATGAGTTTTAGTGCAAAAAGGTCATTTTTCTATAATTTAAATGTAACACACATAATATTTAAAAAGATGCGATAGTGTATATATTTTTTTTCTTTTTGAAAATAAAAATATGTGTATGTTCAATAATTTGGATTTTTCTCAGAGATTTACCCGAATGTTTGAAATTAAACATTAACATGTATGGAAATTAACATGGAGGTATCTACAACTAAGGTGTATTGCATCATTAGTGAAATTTGTTTGACTATAATTTTTTAATAATTTCAACAACAAAAACTATATTAATGTATCATTTAATTTGTATTCATAATATATAGTTCTTTCATTCTCTTTGTTTTATGTATAGATTAATATAAGGTATCTGAATCAGATTTTGCCATAGCAATAAATTGATTTTCCTATAGTAAAACTTTCATACTAAAGTAAACTATAGTTAACTATAGTATTTTTATAGGGTTATATGCATGCTAAGGTTAGATTAAATGCTTTTTAAACCTAATATCAAAAGTAACATAATTCTTTAAAAAAACGCTAGCCATAGCACATTTTGAAATTCTACATCCAACTTTGATTTTACTCGTCATTATTTACCTAATTTAAGAAACTCTTTGTTTTGTTTTGTGTTTGTATCCATTACATAATTATTTATTTCTTGTCCTTCTTCAACTGTTGTGATTCTTTCACGGTTTTTCATATCACATAAACAAAGAGAAAACTATAGAGTGTAAAGTTTATTAATCATCTACTGTCTACACACATTCTGGAGAACATAAAAAAAATATCATAACATTTCTTTCACCTAACGCGTTTAATTGTTTTGACACGAAATGTACTTTTTCAAAAGAGACATGTTTTTTTTTCTTTTGTCACAGAACATGTATCTATTTTTTTTTTTTTTTTTTTTTTTTTTTTTTTGTTAAGTCGCAAAATTTAATTTTTTAAAGAGACATTTTTCCTTTTTTTGAGAAACGTTTCTTACAAAAGAGACGTTTTTATTTTCCTTTGTCAAGAAACAAAAAGAAGACATTTTTTTAAATCTCTTGTCACAAAATGTATTTTTCAAAAGAGACATGTTTCTTATTTTTTTTATCACAAAACTTATTTTCAAAAGAAACAGTTTTTTCTTTTCGTATTCAAAGCGAATGTTTCAAAGTAGACTTTTTTCCTTTTGTTAAAAAACGAATTTTTTAAAAGAGACGTTTTTCCCGTTTGTTAAGAAACGTAGTTTTGAAAAGAAACATTTCTCTCACACAGGGAAATCAAGAAGAATTCAAGAAATTGGTGGTCCTATAAAGTTCTTCATCCGTCACAGGAAGGCACCATATTACACTCAGTACACAATACCTGACTTTAAAGCCGGTGAGTTTGCTGAAATAAGAATCAACCTTTTATTTCAAAATCAAAGGAAATCAAAGTGTCAAATTTGCTTGTCCGAGTAAATTTACGTTTCAGCATCTCATAGTGAATTAAAGACTTAATATTGAACTATACAGTTTTGTAAATCAAAATAAAGTAGAACTGTTAAAATGGGAAAGAATCAAAGAAAATCAGAATATTATGGCCACTTTAAGTATTAAAGTATGAATTGTATTAAAATAAAACAGTAAATCAAAGTATTAAAATGTCATAGTAGATCAAAGTATTAAAGAGTCATAGTAAATCAAAGTATCAAAATTTTATACTCAATCAAAGTATCAAAATGTCATAGTAAATCAAAGTATTAAAATCTAAATGTTACCGTTATTCAGAGTATTAAAGTAAGGTAGTAAATGAATTAAAGTATGCATTGTAGTAAAGTAAACAGTATATCAAAGATCAAAATGTTATCATTAATCAAAGTATTAAAGTGTACATTGTTGGAGAGTAAAACAGTAAATAAAAGAATCAAAATGTCATTGTAAATCAAAATATTTAAATGTCGTAGTAAGTAAAAGTGGCATAGTAAACCGAAGTATTAAAATATACACTGTACTAAAGTAAAACAGTTAAAGTATCAAAATGTCTTCATCAATCGAAGCAATAAAATGTTGTAGTCAATTAAGTATTAAAGTGTGCACTGTTGTAGATTAAAACAGTAAATGAAAGAATCAAAATGACATAGTAAATTAAAGTGATGTACATTGTAATAAATCAAAGTATCATAGTATAAATTATAGTAAAGTAAAACAGAAAATAAAAGAATAAAAATATCCAAGTTAATCAAAGTATCAGTCATCGTTAATCAAAGTATTAAAATGACATTGTAGTAAATCACTATAACTTAAACTATGGGCGATTCATTTTGTTTTAACATTACAGACTTTTTCTTGGACTGGGAGGTCGTGCCATTGAAAGTGGTGTTTCAACCAAACGAATCAGGAATATCTATAATGTACGCACGACCCAAAGACGACGCAGTTATTGAAGGCACAGAGCGCCATCTACTTACTCTTAAAAGAATATCAAACGGAGTTGTCTCTCTCGTTCGATCAAAACTAGTCGACATAATTGACAATGACGGTAAAATTAATGATAAATTATTTTAAGGTATTCCGCCCATTATATCCCTTTATTCAGTCAAGAATTTTCGGAATGAAATGTTTTATTACTCAATATATTAAGACAAGAATTCACTTCATAAGTATCAGTATGTAAGAATTGAATGTGTCCTAATTTATTACCTTAATACCGTAATATGTCCTCAAAGAGTTATCTCCCTTTTTTAATTTTTTTTTTTTTTAAAATCCAAAGAAAAAATATTTTCATTCAATTAAAATATTATTCTTGATAAAACACATCCTTTCTCCACGGTTTTGTGTATATATGTATTCATGGCATTATATTATTAGCTTATCTTCATAGATCACATATGCAATGGCCATTGATTACTTACTGCTTGGATAATTAATTTTTTAATTTTTTATATCTTTTCTAACGCTTTAATCTTACATTAGGTGAATATTTAAATGATAAAGCATTATGTCCTATAAGGGAAGAGAAGAAAACAAAAAAAAATAATTATGAAATAGGAAATGTCTTAGATCTAAATGATATCATCTGTAGTGTTATGTTTATATATTTTTCACGATGTGATTTAGTTTCGTTATATTATTTCTTTGTTGAGAAAAGTATTAGATTTCTAGACATTCTTCTACATTTATGAAAAAATTAGCAGTGGTAATGAATCTATAACAGTAACTATTAATCATCAAAAGACCTAGAAAGTTCACGAATGACACATAGTTCACGAATGAAACATCGTGGGCGACGCTTTCTGGGAATTATAAAATTACAGGGCATCGAAATTTGATGTTTGGGTTATATTAATAACGTCCACTGCTGGAAAATTTTTCTCATTTCTAAAAATAATAATTTCAAGAAACAGAACTTACGTAAAATTGTTTGATTTTGCAGTGGAGGGAGAATGGACAGGGTGGTCTCCCTTGGGTAAATGTAAACGCCATTTTGTGAATTCTTGCTCACGCACAATGTCACGGCAATGCCAGTACCAAAAAAAACAGCTTACACCAGTTACAGCACACTGTCGTGGAGAGGACATAAAATTCACCAACTGTCTTTGTCCCTGAAATCACTTGCCTTCAAAATGTTACAAGGTTGTTTTAGGAAAATCGATTGTATTGGATACATAATGCAATGAATCAATAAAGAATAAACTTGTTTCAGCAATGCACCCTAGGTTGTTTTTTTTAAATAGTGTTTTATTATTTTTTTATTGTTATTATTATTAATTACTTATCATTTTTTAATATTTTTACTGAGTACATTTATAATACTGGCGTACAAACGCATGTTAGAATCAAAAAAAAATTTTTTTAAGGCGTAATAACGCAAAAAGGCAATATTATGCCTTTTCAAAGGGCGTTATTACGCCTTTTCAGATTGTATTACTATGTCTTTCAAATAGGCGTTATTATGCCTATTCAAAAGACGATATTACGCCTTTTATTTTCATTACATGACTAGAAGTACCTTTAGTGCAGTGACAAACCTAGAAAAAGACGCTTATTTTTCGAGTTTAATGCACCGACATACCCTACGACTGAAAGTTATATTTTATAAAAGAGACATCCTTTCTCATGCATTTTCGCCCGATCGTAGAGTTTTCTCGAGTCAAACTTTTTTTTTAATTGCGAATAAAAGTGAAAAAGGGGGGTATATTTTGTCTGCCGATATTATTCTTCACAAGTTAACCTTTGAATTACATAAAAAAGTAAAACTTTGTACGAATGCTATCTAAGTTAATATTGTCAAATTCATTATGAATATTATTGTTTGCTTTCTTTGTTTTTTTAAGAGATTGCGTGTTTCAACATAGTTACGTAATGTAATAAATTACGAACATTTACCTACATATTTTAAAGATAATTAAGCAAACGATGTTTTACGATCATATTGGACCTAAGGATATCTTCACACTAAGTTTTTTTTATTCTTCTTGATCTGAAATTCTAATCGTTTTATGTAACCGGAAACGAATTATAGAATCCCAGCACCACCTCATGCACCTGTGATAATGGCACCGATTGATTACCGATCAAAATATTGTTAAACATATCAAATTGTCTTCTTCTCTGTTTCAATGTAATCACCTTAAAGTTTTTAAAAAAGACAAAATTCAAATCAAAATAAATGCTAGAACGAAAGCACTCAATTTCCAGAGAAAATATGAGCGTTTTGACAAACTTTCAATTTTTTTCCTTAAGACGAATGAAGTCTGGATTTCAATCAATACGCAAATGAATGTAATTATTCTGTTTTATTTTTCAAATAAAGAAGACGTAAAGGTCAAGCATATTACTTTCATTTCATGTTTCTATTTGAACAGTGTGTTGCATGATTAGAGATTGCTTTTCTGCATCGTAAGCAATGCCAATGCGATGCTACGTTGTATGAAATTGAAAGAGAAGAACGATATTATAGGATTGACTGTACGAATTATTTTGTTCATTGAGAAATGAATCTAAAAAACAAATCGCACACTTTATGAAAGCCGAAGGCTTTCATAAAAAATGTGCGATTCGTTTTTTAGATTCATTTCTCAATGAACAAAATAATTTATATAGTCAATGCTTATAATTCAATTTCAGCGAAAAACATGTTTCTTTTCATGTACATACTCATTATTTAGCTAACTCAAAAAATTGTGCACGAAATTTACATGCCGACAGGTGCGTAGAAATATATCGATTGGAAAATTACACGATTCTTGGGAGCGGATCTAAAAGCCTGTAGTACACAAGGCGGGTATAATTTTCTTTTAAATGTTATAAAGATAAAGAATTCCCCGTTATGTTTTATTGTCTTTATAATGATTTACTAAGTTATCGATTACGTGAGTTATGAAAATCTGCACGTGCAAGTTTTAAAAGAGATTACACATAAAGCATACAGAAACTTGCTTTGTTGTCAGTAAGCAAACGGTCAACGGTAACACGTCGAGTGGAGTGCAGTGGAATATTAGAAAGAGATATCTTAAAATCTAGAAATAAACTTGCTTGTCGATACACCTTAAAATACACGTACAACTTGTAACAATTAACATGGTTAATACCCTGTATAAGTTTGATGTGCAGACGAAATACTTGAGAATGTGATAATAACACTCACATCAGAAAAACTTAGTCTAAGGTCCTTCTTATCATTTAATTTTCATAACCTACATAACAATTTTTCTGTCTAGTTTGGTTTTCATTTTGTACTAAATTCAATGTAAATTCTTTCTTTACAAATAAAAAATGTAAAACACGTGCTTCTTTACAGAGTTATACCCCTTGCCATCCCCGGCATTACCCATTGACAACAATTACCTCGCTTAATAATTTATTTGAATATTTTTCTTTTTTCTTCTCAACAAGAATTTTTATTGTATAATTTAAAAATAGAAACATATGATTAAAATATTTCCTTTAAAGCACACGGAGAGAAACAAAAGGTTTACAGTGTACATGTATGTACATTAAAGTGATTGAGGTATCTGACCATCAGTATATCAGGCACACTCGGGTTAGACATCCCTTATCCGCAAATTTACGCTATTTAATATAAAATCTTTAATACAAACTGCGTTATAATAAGCACTGTTACTTTACGTTTCCGTAGGGATAGGGGTTTCCCAGTATCCATCTTTTATTCTAAATCCTCCCATACAACTGATTAAAATTTTATTAGATTTTCACATACCTAATCTTTATTTTAAATCGATGTGTTGTGCACTTTTAATTTTACGTCTTGATCAGAAAGATATTTGGGTTTTCTTTTATCAAAACATGGACTTTGCCATTATTCTTGTCAAAGTGGGTATCCATTCTTAAACCCCGAACGAATATCGATGATGTTTTAAAGAATCACCTTCGACCGGACGAAAACTCCTTTTGGACCGGGAGTATCATTTTGTGAGCTCAATCAAGTTTCTATTCTGCTTTTCAAATGAAACATATCCTTGTAACGTGATGGAGTAGTGAACAAGATAGAGAAATTACAGCTCTAACAAATGCATATCGTCAATAATATAAAAATGTTTTCTTTGTCCCGTTTCACAGAATTTGCTACTATATCACCGATACAATTCCAAAATCTTTCTGCTCCTAAATCTTCATAATTTGCGAATTAACACTTATTTGAAATCTCATCAGATTATCATAACCTTTCGAAACATAGACAAGAATCAGTAATATTTTTTCCAAATTGTATGAGGGAGACGAAAAGTATCAAGAGTTTTAGCACTCTTTTGGCTCACAGGTGTGACCCCTAAAAGAACCCTATTTGTCCAAAGTCCATATGCACCGAGCATACACATGTATACATGTATTTATAAGTATAAGCCTTGATAAAACTGCTTTCAAATTCACAAAGTTGTTTAACGAGTCTATAATTATAAACAGAACAAAAAAAAACGTTAATTTTTATGCTTTAACGTGTATGACGTGATATAGATGATTGATATGCTTCAGGAACAGAAAATGTCTTTTTAGAGTTCAATATATTCAAAATTATTGATGTTTAATGTTTAAATAAAAATATTACTTCTAAGCAACAAAACTCAAAATTTAGTCATATTTCGTATTTTGGGGGTTGGGGTGAAAAAAAAGGGGGGGGGGGGTATTGTCCTTTTTTGATTTCCTAAACACTGTTTATACATGCACTTGTCTTAATATTGCTTGATTGTATTTTATAAACAAAATCTGTACATCAGCACTGAATTAAAAGTACTCCAAGACAATTAATTTTACGGACAGACAGACGGACATTATAGTTCAAATTTTCCTTTTTTTTCTATGAAATCGATATTTTCACTGTAAAAATCAATTTTCAATACAACTTTATTGCAAAATCCGAGAAAATTTATGAATTCCTTAAACTTTTTTAATATGTTCATTATTATGGTCAGATTTCAATCATTGATCTTTAACCTCCTATTATTTTAAATTTTGACCATAGAATTTTCTACGCCCGGATGAAAATAATTGATTAATAATATACCTTTCCAAAAAAGTACAAATTAGCCGTAGGGTAGGGTGGTGCATTAATTTCAAAATTTTGATGACCTTGTCACTCCACTACTTAGCCCATCCCAGGGGCTGAAATGACGACCTCAGGACATGAATATCACAATTTGGTATAGAGCTAATTTCTCAACAAAAAAACCCAGATTTTAGTTAGATATCCAGGAAAATAAATTTTTAAATGCGTAATATGTCTTCAATGTTAAACCAACATAGTCCTTTTCTGATGCCAGACACCTCTACCAAGGGTCATGGATTTCACAATTTTGGTTGAAGGCTAATTGCTCATAATACTCATACAAATAATTTGCCTGCTTTTTTTCCAAGAGAAAAGAAAAAGATTTTCCAGCAAAGCTGCATCTGCCTAAATCCTGGATTTTCACAAGTAGCTAGAGTGCCGATTCTTTCATATACTCATGCAAACAGTTGTCTGCAGGACATGCAGGAGTATAGAAAATATTTCTAAATATTGCATGAATAAAGATGACCTCGATCAATCATTCATTTAATTATTAACATAACATAACGCCTTTTCATTTTCGCTATGAAACTTTTTTTCAAACAGGTCAGTAGTACGAGGGGGGGGGGAGGGGGGGCACTTTTTATAAGAATAGTCTTGCTGTGGTTTAGATATTTAAAAAAAAAACATACAATTTTTCGGTAATAAGAGATTACAGAGCTCATCTCAACGAATGTTGTCTTGAAGTAAGGCAAAGTCCCAAACTAATAATCTAGTAGTGTGCATCCCTAGATGTAACATTTATGCAATTTTGGTCCGATAGGGCTTGCAGTTACTTGGGAATGGACTTACCTAAAAACTTTAAACTAGTCACTCATCCAGAAAATGTAAGTCATATCCAGCATCTGAAGCAAGTTTGAAAGTGTTCATCTTCTGATGCATCATCCATGCAAGTTTGGTTCAGATAGCCCTTATAGTTAACTTTAACCTGGTCACTCATGTGGAAAATGTCGGTCAGATAAAGCATCTGAAGCAAGCTTAGTTGTGTACCTTTAGATGTATCATCCATGCAAGTTTGGTCAACATAGGGCTTAAAGTTACTTGG